GGCTTCTGCGTGACTGACAGGCCCCAGCCAGAGGCAAGCACTCCCTAAGGCAGTGCTTGGCTGTGCACATGCTCTATTAGGGCACAGGGCTGATGTTACAGCTTTAATGCATCTGGGTTTCCAAATGCATTAAAGCCCTGTAGTTGATAAACCAGGATGCTTTCCTCTAAGCATGTTGCAGCTTATTGGAAGGTAAGACTTATACAGCTAATAAAGATTGCTCTGTATTTTAACAAGTGTATGCACTGCAATAGTATTATTTTCATAGCTCTTAAAAATGTGCTAAACAGACATGTGAACAAAACATTTCCCATTTCATCAGCCTTCACATGCACAATTCTGTGACGTGAATTCTGTTACAGTTTTGGCTTTAAGTTTTTAAAGTTTAAGTTTGGAACTCCATTCACAGAATGGCAGTAGAAACTATTCTTATACACCAATTCAAGCTTAATAAATGAACATTTCATCAATGTGAATCCAGAGTAAGAGTTTGGAGATAGGAGGGTGAGTGAGGCCCTTCCATGGTATTAAATAATGAGCACCTCCTTGTTTTCTTTATAGAGCACAGAGTAACCTTCTATCAGGACTCCTGTGGGTGCAAAACCTTAATGGCTGGTGGTTCAGATCCATCCAGTGGTGTAGTATGAGGAGGGGGTGCCAGCCCCCCACCACTAATCACGGGTTCAGTAAGCACAATTATATGGTTGAGATATATAAATGTTATATTAAAGTCATTGAGAGCATGAGAGATAGAGGAGAGATTGAATTAATGGAGTCAGACACAATTCATGGTAGCATGCTCATCTCAGCTTGGTGGTCCTCATCGGGGGAGCCCAGCCAAAAGAGCAGGAGAGAGCCCCGGGAGCGAGAGAAGGAGAGAGCCACGGGTCAAGAGCAGGAGAGCCCCAACTTTATTGCTAACCAAGGGTTATATCTCACTAGGGGGACATGATTACAGGTAATCACACATCACAGGAAGGGGCAGTACCATAGGCATACACATCGTGGGAAGGGGATGTATGATAGGCATAAGCATGACAGGAAGGGGATGAGCTAGGGTGTGCCCATAGGAATGGGAAGGTCTAGGGGTATACATGTGACAAGATGGGCGGAC